CCAGCCAGATTCTGTCTCTTTGGTGAGAGGTGACCCATCCAATGGCTGAGCTTTGGGAGCAGCTCTGGTCGCACTGGGCTCAAGAGGAGGGAAAAAATGCGTGCATCAGCACAGTGCCAAAGGAGAGGGGCTCTCATTCAGCACAAGAAGCTTCGTGCAGGTGGGCTGCTGGCACAGCAGAGCCATCCCAAGCAGAAAGCCTGCTACTGCGGCTCAGGGAAGCCTCATCCCCCCCCTCCTCCCCACCAACAAAGGCAGCGATGGCAGCAGCCACTGGAAAACCAGCGCTGGTGCCGCTGTCCTCATCCTTCCCTATGTCTGCATGTCAGCAAGGAAAGTTTCTCTTTGCGGGGTCTTCCTAAAGCTCATATAGGGACCACAAGAGCCCAGCACAGACCCCGAGGGACACAAAGCCATTCCTTGGGATGCAGGGAGCTCAGCACCCCCCCGGTGAGGGGCTGCTCCACCACCTGCACCCCTCAGAGGCAGCACCCCAATGCCAGTGCACCCACAGCGCGACCACCCTGAGCATCGCAACGGTTCCCTGCCAACACAGCTCCCATCCAACACCCAGAACAGAGCTCCAAGGACCAGCAGAACAGAGGGGTCTGAAGCGTTTATGTAGGTACGTATATGTCATATATTTGCGTGTGTAACTATACATCGAGATCTGCATACTTACACACCCGCACAGGTAAATATTTATAGATACTGACCTCTTCAGATTAAAGTCCAAGGCACTTTTTACAGTGAACAGGTTAAAGCCATAGTTTAAAACGCGCCTGTTTCTGGGTACAGCTCGGTTTATGGCAATGCTGCTGGGACGGGCAGGGCCCGTTCCCTTCCCCTCTTCAGGGCCATGCGCAGACTGGGAGGAGTGTGGGGCCGGATCCTCACCGCAGCCCCAAGCAGCTCTATAGGGCCACGTTGGGTTGTGCAGTGCAGGGGAGGAACGATTCGGGCAGGAGGCGGAGAAGAGCTCATCCTGGGGGCTGCAGAGCTGCCCTTTGCTCAGGAAATGGGGCACAGATGGGGCTCATCCAGGGAAAAGCAAGAACCCCCCGAGCAGTAGGGCTTCCCCCCGTTAAATCCTCCCTGCAGCCCTTAGGGAGCTGAGTGGGGAGAAGATGGGGGCAGGAAGCAGAGCAAAGTCCCCCAGCAGCAGCAGCAGCAGCAGCAGGAGCAGCAGCATCCCCCCCCCCCCCCCCCAAAGGAGATACCCCAGCACACCTACCTGGGGGTCACAGGGCTGTGAGATGGCTGGGGACAGGAGGAGCACAAGGGCTCCAAGCACCCTACAGACCTCAGCCCCAGCAGAAGGGGGTCAGCAATGCCCTCACCACCGCTCACAAGGAAAGGAGCCAGCCCTTCTCCTCCAGCCTGGCCACAAACCCCAGGAACCCCCCGAGCTGGGCTCAATGGGGGGCAGCTGGAGCTGCTGGGGGGGCTTCAGCCCTGCAAGGAGCCCTCTGAGCTCTCCAACCTGCAGCTCCGGGTGCGTTCATGGGCTCTGATAGTGATAACTGATAACAGTGACAGTGCTGTGGGGATGGGGGGGGGATAGAGGAGCTGCGTAAGGGATTTTGCTATGCTGGAGGAAGGCAGCAGGAATTGGTCCCAGGTGCCATGCTCAACCCTGGCTGCTGCTCCACACGGAAGGAAGCGGCCAGGAGCGCAGAGCAGGGCTGCACAGGGGGGTTTAAGACTATTTCCCTACAGACCTCGGCCTGCACACGGTGCTGAGATGCCCCCCAAGTGCGCACTGAGAACGGCAAGGCTGAGCTGGGACAATCCCTGCAACCTCACCACGTCCCTCTCCTAAATTTGGGGCTGCCTCTCCGTCCTACACAAGCACAGCCTGAGATGGAAGGAAGCAAAACCTCCAGGCACCCCACGGCCTCCCTGTGCCAAATCCTTACCTGCCACCAGTGGGGATGTGGGGATGCCCTCGTCCCCGAGCTGGGGACACGTTGACCTGAGAGGAAGAAGAGAGTGGGACCCCACAGCCCTCCTGCCCCGAACAGGAGGAGGAGGAGGATGGATGGGTGATCCCTGAACTTGGAGAGCACCGCACTGCGCCGGTGTGGCTGCTCTGAGCCAAACGGTTGGGTTGTTGAAGTCCGAAAGCGAGGGAGAAGCGATGCGCCCTGCACTGCTCCGTCCCCAAAGCCTCCATCCCGCGGCTGAACGGGACCAGGAGAAGGAATGGCTTTCAGGAGGCTGAGAAAAGCGAAAAGCAAAGCCCCGGTGCTACACAAATTTAGGATCCCAGCGGGGATTAACGCCTTGGGATGGAAGGGATCGGGATGGGGGTTGTGCTGGGAGCTCCCACCAGCCCCGGCCCCGCAGTGACTGTACTCAGAAACAGACATGGGCAGCAGGCGGGCGTCGCTGCCTGCCGACAACAGGTCGGGTACAAAACCATAATTGAAAGTTACAATAACCTTTGTAATATAGCAATATATTTCATAGTTAAAATAAACTATTATGCTTTCCCCTATCGTTAAAAAAAGAAGCGAGCAGTACAGAGGCAAGGTGCAAACCCGTGCGGAAGCCTCCTTCAGTCTGGACAGAAGCGTTTTCAGTCTGTGGGTTTGCAGAGAGGACGTCGTATTTTTTTTTTTTAATTATTTTTTCCTTTTTTTTTTTTTTTTTTTTTTTTTTTTTTTTTTTTTCTGGCGTTTTTAGGACGTTTCCTTGCAGGCGGTGCAAGAGGTTCGCAGAGGGGAAAACCGAGGCTGCGCTGCAGGAGGCAGTGGGTGGGTATGGAGGGCGTCGGGTTGAGCTCGCCTCACCTGGGATAGCAGCTGGAGTGCTGAGAGGGGGGGTGGTCGTCTCGCTTTGCAAAATGGGGGGGTGGGCTGAGCCGGTGCGGGGGTCTGAGGGCTGCTTCCCGGTGAGAGGTCGGCATCTCTTTGGGTTTTCGAGACGATGCTGTTGTTTGGTTCTTGTGCTTTTCCTGCACGGCTCCCTTTGGTCCCAGCTCTCCTCCCTGCTCGCTTCGGTGCTCGGAGCTCAGGGGAAAGGAGAGCAGGAGAGCTCCCCTCTCATCTGTCGGTGTGTGGTGGGCTCAGTGCCCACGTGGCAACCGGGACCGACACCGGAACCGACACCGGAACCGGCGCGGCGCTGTCCGCGGTGCTGAACCGGCAGCGGGTGGGGACGGAGTGGAGGATGAGGGTGTAGAGCATTGAATGGAGGTGCACGAGATGGAGGGTGTAGGGTATGAGGGATAAAGGAATAAGGATGTATAGGATGGAGGGTGCGTGGGATGTGGGGTGTAGGATATGAGGGATGAAGGGTGCGTGGGAATAGGGGTACATAGGATGGAGGGTGGAGTGCATTGGATGGAGGGTGCATTGGATGGAGGGCGTTGGGTACAAGGGATGAAGGGTGCATGGGAGTAAGGGTACATGGGATGGAGAGTGGAGTGCATTGGATGAAGGGTGCGTGGGATGGAGGGTTTAGAGCGCATTGGATGAATGCATGAGAAGTAGGGTGAATGGAATGAAGGGTGAATGGGATGTGGGGTGTCGTTTGTGGGGAATGAAGAGTGTAGGGCGCACGGACGCACACACCATTTAGGGTTCAAGGGATGAAGTATGCATGGGATGAAGGGTGTAGGGTTTATGGAATGAAGGATATAGGATGCAACGGATGAAGGGTGCGTGGATGCGGGCTGCGGGATTCAAGGTGCATGGCTGCAAGGTGCATGGCTGCAAGGTGCATGAGGTGTGGGGTGCTGGGCAGAGGGACTGCCGGGCTGTGTGAGGATGGGGGTCCATAGGGTGTGAGGTGCAGAGCTGGGGGTGCCACGTGCAAACTCTGAGCTCAGAGCATGCGATGGAGGGCACAGGGCCGTGGGCTGCAGCGGTGCCATGAGGAAGCAGCAGCTCTGCCCAAGGACGAGGTGCTCCTGCGCTGGTGGCAATGCTGAAGCTCTCATCACCGCTCTGTCGCTTCACGGCCCAGCTGGCACTTCCTCCTCTTGTCCTACTCTTGTTGCTTTCTCAGACTTGATTACCAGCCCGTGAGGAGGTTCCCGCTGGAGATATCGATTCCCAGCCATCAATACTTCCTTCAGCCCCGCGACGCATCGCTGCACGGCGCTTTGTTCCTACACAAACCACAGGAGAGGCGTGGAAACGTTTTTCTCTGCTGGCTGCCCGTGGCCAGTGGAGATTCTGTATGTTAGGCTCATCCTTGGCGTTCACAAGGCTTCCTCCATTGCCGTGCTCGAAATCTCCTTGGGAAGATGGGAAGATGGGCATCTCCTCTTCACCCCATCTGAGGAGCGGGGAGGTGAGGGGTGGTTACCTGGAGGCACAGGGACTGGCAGCAATGCTGAGAGCCGGCGCTGGCGCGCTGCCGAGGCAGTGACACGCTCCCATCAGCCCTGCCCGCCCAGCAATTAAACTAATGACAAGATCTTCGTGCAGGGGAAGGGCAGCTCCTTCCCAGAAGCTGAAGATGCGCTGCTGGCCAAGGAATAGAAAACGCTGGCAGTGAGCTCTGTGCTCCCTGAATGCAAACCATGCGACAAGAACAACCGGGGCTGTTAACGTGCTACCAACAGGCTTCACAGCACCACCTCTGCAGCACCGGGAGCGCATTTTGCAGCTCCTCTGGAGGAGCCTTCCTCCTCCTCCTCCTCCTCCTCCTCTGCCATGTGCCAATGGCAGGGCTGGAGGAGGGGGGGAGGAGGGGAGCGCCTCGTAACCGCTGCTTGTTTCCTGTGCAGCTTTAATTGCGGGGCACGAGGAGTAAGATACCTTCCAGCAGCAGGGAGTGGGGTTTTGCACAGCAATTCCTCTGCACTGGGGCCGATCCACCCCTGCCTACGTGCGCACGGAACGCAGCGTTACTGACGGGAGCGAAAGAGTTACGAAGGAGAAGATTACAGGCTGAGTATACCTGGAGTAACACAGTGGCTTTTGATTACAATTACTGACACTGCCGGGTGATGTGTAATTAATATCACGGAGTAATTACACGCTTACTTCATCTGTTTAAAAATATATAAATATCCTCTGCCGTGTTTTCAATGAAAGCAGCAAACGCCGTCCCCAAAGCGGGGGCAGCGCAGGGACCGGGCAGAACCCCAAACTGCTGCGGGGTGACACGAGAAGGGGACACGGTGACAGCAGAACAGGGATCTTCGCTCCCCGGTGCTGCTGACCCCCAGCAGGAGCGGTGTGGGGTGGGGGTGGTTTTAAACAGATGAAGCGTCCCACACTGAGCATCGTCCGCGGCATCGGGGTCGGAGCTGCGCCCGGTGCCTTCCCCGACCTCAGGGGTGTTCCGGGGTTTGGAGACCTCCGGATGGGGTGGGGGGCAGCGGTGGGGCCGTCCCCACCTGTATTAAGCATTGCTCGAGACTCCAATGAGCCAAAACGAAGAGCTGGTTCTGCCCCAACGGAGAGCACCGGTGCTGCAGAGAGAACCCCCGGTCAGCTCGGAGCCCACCACCTACCCTGGAACAGAGCGAGGGGAACGTGTTGGTGTCTTGGCAAGGAGACGGGACGGAGCACGGACATCTCAGGGCAGAGCTGTGCAAGAACTCCAAGGTCAGGAGGAGGGGAACGCACTGGGAGGGGTTGGGGGTGAGCAGCCTTGTGCCCCCCCGTAGCCCCGAGCTCCACACGGTGCGATTCTCCCTCCGGTGTCTCCGTCGCTTCAGTGCTTCCGACTGGTTTGTGTTCGTTTTGTTTTGTTTTCAATGTGAAGACCTGAGATTGAGCGTGGATTCCTGTCCTCCACCGAGCGCCGCGGCGCGAAGCGTCGCCTCCGTCCCCTTCCTTCACCACGAGTAGAGGCACCGAAACGGGGGGGGGGGGGGGGGGAGGAAAGGGAGCGGGTCTGGGGGACAGGGGAGAAGGGGGGAGATGTCCATCCCAAGGCATCACCGCTCCAACGCCGTTCCCAGAGGGAACGCCGAGTCCTCGGGGCCGCCGCCAGCTCTCCCCGTGTCCACGGAGCGCCAGGAGGGGGCTTTGCTCTGCGCTTTTAGCAGCTGCTGGAGCTGGTGTACGGGGTGGGGAAGGAGGTGGAGCTGACTCCGATGGGGCTCTCGGATAGAGGGGTCTGCGGGGTGCCGGCAGGCACGGCAACGGCCCGAGCCTCCACCACGGCGGCGAGCAGGCGCTGGTGCTGCTGGCGCAGCATGTCGGCCAGCAGCAGAGGCAGTGAGTTGAAGCTGGCGCTCAGCTGCTCCAGTTTGGATTCCAGGCTGCCCAGCTGCTTCTCCAGGTCCTCGCTGCGGTCGTTGAGCTCGGTGATGAGGTCGTACATCACGTTCTGCATCTACAGAGGGAAGGAGAGGGGTCGGATCAGTGATTCCCTGTGAGCCCCCACCCCACCTCGTGCAGCTGCGCAGCCCCCCGACCCTTCCTGGGGCTGAAAGTTCTGCTCCTGAGCAGAAGTTCTCCTCGCAGCCGGAGGTTTCACCCGCTCTGCAGCCCAGAGGTTTTGCCTGCTCTGCAACTCAGAGCCTGCTGCTGTCAGCTCTCATCAGGCAGCCACGGGGCTCTGCGAGCTCAGCACAATGCTGAAGTAAGAGCAAGTGGAGGGGATGAGGACAGGGACAGCCGTGCAGCAGTGCTGCCAGCTCATGCCCTGCATGGAGCCTTCAGCCTCACACATCAGCAGAGTGGCTCACAGAGGGGCTTTGCAACACTCTGCAGCCTCTGCTCCCATCTGTGCCCCAGCAAAATTATTAGTTGGGCTCTTCTGTGCAGCTCCCAGGCCTCTTTCACCCACTCCAGCCCCATTGCTAAGCTCCCTCAGAGCCCCTGGGACAGAGCTGCCCCCATAGCAGAGCATGGAGGGAACTGGTTGCAGCCAGCTGGTGGGGATGGGGCCCCAGAGGATGCTTGGCCATCTGGGAGCCGCACTCCAGATAATCCCCATTGCTTTAACTCCTTCCTACCAGCAGAGCCAGCTGCCCCCCCTCTCCCAAGCCCCTCTGCACCAGCCCAGGATGAGGGGTGGGCGCACTGGGATGCAGCACAGCACAGCAGACACCGCACACCCGGCGCACATCTGACCCCCCTGTGCTGGGACCGGCGCTTGGCCCGCCTGATTTCCGCTGTGAGGAGATGGGAATGATGAAACCTGGGGGCTGCTGAGCCCTGAGCATCCCCAGCTGGGCCATGCAGCGTTCCTATGGGGCGGTAAATGCAGAGCTCTAATGGAAATGGGGTGACCCCCCCGTCCCCGCTCGTGGTGCGCTCTGTTCTACATGCAGGGGCTGTGAGATGTTCACACTGACAGCTCAGGAGCCGGAGCACCGCGGTCAGCCAGGTTCTGCCTCGGATGTTCCAAGGGAAGAGGAACACGAGGCCATGGGGTTATGGGAGGACTTGCCTTCGAGAGGTCGACCAGCGTGTTGGCCTGGTCGCTCAGCTTCCGCTGCTCCATCTTCACGCTGCGCAACCTGGGGAGGGGGAGAGCAACGCCACGCACCACTCTTCCCAACTACAAAACGCTGCAGAGACCCTTCCCATTACTAGGAAATGGAGAGCCATCCTGTGGATGGGCTGGGACCCCCTCCCCA